CAAAAGTCAAAGCTGCAAATGTGGAGGGACGAGTGTAGTTTAATTCTATTCTAAAGCTCACTTCTGTATATTTTTTAATTGTAACTGTTTTGTATCCCAATTATGGGGGAAAGCAGGATATATAAATAAATGTAGCAGTAGTGTGGCATGGTGGTTTGAGTGTTGGACTACCGCTCTGGAGACCAGGGTTCGAATCCTGGCTTGGCCATGGAAACCCACTTGGGCAAGCCATACTCTCTCAGCCCAGATGATGGCCATGGAACCCCCCCTCTGAAGGAACCTGCCAAGCAAACCCTGGGATAAGTTCATCATAAGGGCAAGTCACGCTCTCTCACCCTCAGAGGACGGCCATGGCAAACCTGCTCTGAAGAAACTTGCTAAGAAAACCCCCAGGATAGGGTCACCATAAGGAAGTCACACAATTAGTGTCTTGACATTTTTCCACATTCACTGAGTCCTTCACCCCTAACCCCAGCGAATGTGGAGGGACCACTGTAACATGCAACCTGATTACCTAAGACATCACCTTCACCTTTACATTTGACTGTCCAGTGTGGTACAGTGGCTTGTGTGTTGGATTACGACTCTGGAAACCAGGGTTTGAATCTCGTTTCAGCCATGGAAACCCACTGAGTGACCTTGGGTGAGTCACACACTCTCAGTCTCAGAGGATGGCAATGTCAAACCCCCTCTGAATAAACCTGCCATAATACCCTAGGATAGGGTTGCCATAAGGGCATGTCACACTCTCAGAGTGTGGCCATGGCAAAGCCCCTCTGAAGAAACCTGCCAAGAAAACCCCAGGATAGGGGTTTGGTAAGACATAAGTAGGAAACAACTTGAAGACACACAACACACACACATAAGCAACCACTCTTAATGTGTGGTGATTTTTTTCTTTAACTTTCTTGGCTTGTGCAAACTGACTTGAAGACAGAGGAAGTAAAGGGCAAGCAGTAAAGTTTCCATCTCCATTTGCAGCAACAAAATGACTTCCTTTGAGATCTAGGCCAACTCTCAGGTGAGGCTGCAAGCCATTCTGTAGTTATTACAGTGACTTTCAAGAAGCCTCTCCACTGTCACATCTGGAAATAAAGTTGGGTGTCGTTAATCAGTAAAACCTAACAACAAGAGCCAAAATTCAGATAGTTTTACCTTTGTTGGAGGTAAAAAAATAACCAACAACAACCCAGAAACTGAGTCCCAGTTCATTTAATCTTCCTACGTTAGGTTTCCCCTGTTGGAGCTAAGGCTTTTGTAAAATTAATTTTTGTTGAAAAACATATCATTGAATATACATAAACACACACACACACACACATACGTGTGTGTGTGTGTATAGATAATGAATTATATAATAAGAAATAACATTTTTCCAATACATAAATCCTTCCCTCTTCCCTCCAGTCATTAGTGGTTTTGGTAGTTGAGTATGAGGATTTTTCATTTGATTGATTTTTCTTCCATTCTCTTAGATCTGTTGTTATTCTACATCTTAGTGTTCTTAGCTTTTTTACAAATGGTGTTGCTTTATTGGTCTTCACTTCCTGTTACTGTTAAAAAGTTCTGCTTCTTTTCTCCTTTTTATGTTAGACATTCAGGTCTTTTTCATCTGTAAACAAACCAAACAGTTGAAGCTAGGTTTGCTTTCTTCAAATCCAAAATCACTCTTGTTAGGAGTGAGGTAACTGACTTTTAAGCAACTGGTTTGGGGAGTCAAGAGAGGGAAGCAAATACAGTAGTTAAATATAATATTTTTCTATTTTTTACAGCCAGGAAGGGCGAGAGGTTTTCTATCTCTGGTGGCAAAATAACTTGAGCAGCTCTGAGTTACTATGGCTGTATCTGTATTGCAGAAATAATCAGGTTTGAGACCACTTTAATGGTCATGGCTCCATGCGATGGAATTCTGGAAAGTGTAGTTTGTTGGAGCACCAGAGCTCTGCTACACTTCCCAGAATTCCATAGCATGGAGCCATGGCCATTAAAGTGGAGTCAAAACGGATTATTTCTGCAGTGCAGATGCAACCTATGGAGCATGAGAAGACAAGGAACCATTAGGCTGCCAAATCCACATGATTTGCTCATGGTGTAAAAGAGGATGTCATATATAAATTCGCAGAGTGAGACTTGGGGAATGTGAAGAAGCCTCAATAATGATTAAAGTATGCATTTACTTGGAAGCTGGATTCAGTGATTTCAAATAATAGATAAACAAAGATGTCTGTTTTGAAAGCAGCACATGATTGCCTATAGAGGGTTATTGCAAGTGGTTTCCTGTTAATTGCAAAATTATAAGCTTGGCCGGCATGGTTTTGGATTACTTTGCTGTAGTTGGAGGCATAACAGCTGTGGAGAGTTTCTGTTTTAACCAAAATCCAGTAATGACTAATGGGTTTATATGGCTAACAAGGAAGGGGATAAGGAAACAAGGGATTGGAGAATTATATTGGGGGGGATTCCACTCATTGTCAATGGCTTGTTATACTTATACTTCCTTTTTTTACTCCAGACTGTTCCTGTATTGTCCCGTGCTGTGAAAACAGTTCCATAAGGACGTTTAGAATCAGGATAAGGAACTTCAGGTCCTGCAGTGATTTTCTCTGGTGGCTTCCCAACTTTTTTATGTGTTTTACCCATTCTAGAAGAGTGAATGTTTGCCTTAAGGCTTTGTTATAGGCAGTAAGCTAAACTATGCAAGTATTGTTGGGCAAGTCACACTCTCTCAGCCTCAGAGGATAGCAATGGCAAACCTCCTCTAAACAAATCTTGCCAAGAAAACCCCATGATAGACTCGCCTGTCATGGAAATGACTTGAAGGCAAACAACATAGGCTGCATCAATAAAAGTATAGTGTCTAGATCAAGAGAAGTAATA